CGAACTCCTTCTACCCTGTATAGCTCTTGTAAATCTTCTCCCTTCTTGTTGTGCTGTTTATGATTAAGGTGAGAAGCATTGAGATCTTCTTCCTGATAATTTTATGTGCATGAGTGTGTGAATTATTAGTTGAAGTTTTTCCTCTTGTGATGCTGCTGTCCATGCATTGAAAAAAGGGAGAAATTTAAATTGAATTGGAAATAATTTTCTGCACTTGTGAATGTGGATTGTTGTTGCTGTGCATTAGAGTGTGGTTTGCTCTGTGTGTCCATGAAACTACCAAATTTTAATGTGTTTTCTGTTGCTGTCGTGCTGTTATAGGAAAGAGACAATTCAAATATTGAGCTGCCAATTTATCTTAAAGATTGAGAATGATATACTCATGGGTCATAATTTTTGAGTTGAACTAACTGTTTAGATTGGGTGATATTGAAAAATTTGTTAGGATGAAGTTGGAAAAGAATAGCTTAAATATAAAACTTAAATATTGGTGCTTATAAGATGTTTGTTGAAATGTTTGCTAGAGAATATTGCAAAGGTGATAAGAAATAATAATAATAATAATAATAATAATAATAATAATGTGATTATTTGAATCCTTGAAATTGAATAGTTTGTTGATAAAATATATGTCTTTACATACAAGTTGTAAAGTTGATTTACTCATTGGATTTGTATCGCACCAAAAAGGAAAATTGTTAGGTTATGTGATGATTGAGGTTTTTATTAAACATGAAATAAGAAGAGTGTTAATGGTTGGGGTTGAATGTTGTTGGTTTAAATGCTAGATTAATTTGGAGTATCACTGGAGAAAGCAGGAAATTGAGGGAGTCTAATTATAAGATTATTGAGAAATTTTCAGGTAAGTGGATAGTATCCCAACTGATATTTCACTAAAATCTCTTTTATTCAAATATTACATTTTTATGCAAATTTTTTTTACAACAACAATGTGATTATGAGATATTTTGTTGATTAAATTGCTTTATTTCGTGAAATTATTTTACCAAAATTGATCATTTTGGTTAATCAGTTAATATAAGTTTGAATTCTAATTGTGAGATTTTATTTTAAAAATTATTGAATTGTTATGAAAAAATGATTTATGTGAGTTTGACATTGAAAAGGAAAATTTGATTGAATATTGATCAATTTCTCGCATGTTTGAAATTAAATTTGAAAGGGACTTTATATAGAACATTGGTTGTTAACGGCAGTTCCATTAGTCCTCGGCATGCCATAGTACATCTAACTAGCAGGGTGTGTATAGGAGGTGCTAACCCTGTGCGATGGCCAACGTATGTGGAACAGAAGGATGGTTATTCGTGAGCATCGTACTCACGTTTGTTTCGTGGCCTCAGCTGCATTTAGTTACATACCCTCGTGGACTGTGTGTCTACGTTTGTTTTGTGGCTTCGACCGCGTTTGGTTATTTACCCTCGTAGACTGAGTGTCCACGTTTGTTTTCATGGCATAAGCCACGTTTGGTTAGTTACCCTCATGAATTATGTATTCACATTTGTTAATTATTTTGATAAGTCCCTATAATTATGAATCCAATCGTTTGATGATTTTATATTCTATTAGTTTTTATTTAGTAATTTATTTATAAATATTTATTTTATTTATATTCTTTCTTGAAATCAAGTGATATTATCATTTTCTATGATAATTCAATGATCTGAGATTTTATTTGAAATTTATAGAGACATTTTATTATGAAGTTTATAAAATTTTTATGAAAATTTTATTTATTTAACTTACATAACTATTTCAAACTTTTTACTTTATTTATGTTCTATTATTTATTGTTGGGACATTATTCACTGAAAAAGATATTTTGGTCTCAGATGGTATAGTTGAACTTGTGACTCAAGACATTTACTGAGGAGTTTTATTGCTGAATTGAAGCAAAAGAATTATTTTAGTCAAATCCTTATTTGATGAAAATTTAAACTTTATACCTACGTTGGCGTCTGGCCTTAGGTGCTCCATGTAGACTAAAGGTAGGATCTTTACATTTCTTTTAAAATTGAATATCTGATTTAATATTGTAATTTTTAATTACTCTATTAATGTGTTTAACGTATTAATTTCAGAATTCCTCCGATCACGGCTTAAGGGATGTGAGGTTTGTACCCATATCCCGTGTCGATCACACTTGATTTTTTTGAAGTGTGACACTTAAGGCCACATTTGCAAATGGTAATGATTCTTTAAGGTTCATCCGTAGACAATACTAAACGTTTGGGCCTATTTTTGGTGCTTGGTCCAATTGACTTTGTTTTGTGCTTGATTTCCCTTAGTTTCGGCTTCTTCTTCTTGATTTTCACAAATAAGCCACAAGTAAGATAATAGATCTTTCCCAATTTTAGTGCTATAACAATTCAATTCACGCTATAAATTGTATCAAAATAAAATCAAAATAGTGGCTTATCACCCCTGCTGTGTTTCAATAGTAGGCAAAATATCCTTATTGCACCCGTACTTTTCACACATGAATTGCACTCATAAAGCATCCCTACAATCCATCAAACCATACCCTAGTTTCATCATAAATGCTAGGTTTTGTAACTGAGCTTGTCTAAGGCCAAGACCCTTATTGTCTTCCTTTTATAGATATCATCCTAACTTCCTTTACAATCTATCTCCTTTGGATTTTTCATTTTCCAATATGCTAATTTCATTGTCAACTGTAACAGGCTTTCGGTCACCCCGCCTTCCCGAGGTCTTTTGCGGCGCTGGATACTCTCCCCCCAGGCGCCACAACAGGGTGACCCCACCCCTTTCGGTAAGTATCAGGAGACAAAGGCTTTCCCACAGCAGTGTGCAGGATTATTCCCCTTGCATAGAGCCTCCCCAGGTTCGATCCTCTAACCTCTCCTACATAACAAAGTTGAGGCTGAACCTGGTACCATTGAGTCAATTTGACTCAGTGGTACCAAACTTAGCCTTAACTTCGTTAAGGTAGTAGAGGTTGGAGGTTTGAGTCTGGGGAGGTTCCAAAAGACCCCCGTGAGGGTGGGGTGAGGAACAACCACTGTACCACCAGTGGGAAAGCCGACAATCATGCGGTGACATGTATGTTGTCCAGTGCTGCAAAAAGACCCTGGAGAGGCAGTGGTGACCCAGAGGGCTGTTACATCAACTCCCTATTAGCCGACCATATCAATCGAGGTATATCGAGTATGCTGATTTATGTCTTGTTTGTCTCAAGAAAAATATATAGACATATTGGATGAGAGCTTGATATCACTTCCAACTTCATATTTTATGATTTTTATTGGTTTATTTCAAAGTAGTTTCATATAAATTGTTAAACCTAATGCAATTACTAATTGTGCATTAGTATGATTTCAACATTAAGACTTATTAATCAAGATTTTCTTTATTTTCTAAAAATAATCAAGATTTCTTAAATTATGTTTTGTTCAAATTGAAGAAAAAAAGAGGCAGGTTGATGAGATTTATTACTTCACTGTAAACTCGCTATTAGCCAACCATCTCCACCACGGTACATCGATATATTGCCATCTCCCAACCTCCTCACTTCACTAATTTTCCCTAGGACTTAATTCGGTAAAACTCCATTGAACTTGCTTCAATCTCATGCACCCAAAAGGGAGATATAATCTACTACTAAGGCCTTCAATTTTTTTGTGGGCTCTGCTATACTGACATGCCTAATGAGTTGATCATGATGGGGTTAACTAACAATCCCGCCGGAACCGTATTCATTATCTCACTCGAAAGGGAGATATAATCTATTATCAGAGCTTTCAATTCTTCTGTGGACACTGTTGAACTGACATGCTTAATGAACTTATCGTGGTTAGGTAACCAATAATCCTGCAAGAATTGTATTCTTCTTCCATTCCCAAGCCATCATGTCACACCCTTCATCGTCTCATCCCAGACTTAATTTCCTTCCAAATTCTCGATTCCCTCATCATGTTTTAATAGTAGGCAGAATATCCTCGCCACACTTGTACTTTCATTGGGTCCCACTCTCAAGATTCTGTTTTTAAGCCCTCAAGACGTCTATACAAATGATCTTTTTTAACATTAATATTTCCAAACACCACCTTTTTCCACTCATGCACCTTCTCAGTAAAATTTTCAACATTCTCACTCCTTACTCGCTAAGTTATTGAAATCATTATGAAGAACCCACGGTGCGAAAAAATGGAATCCTTTATTTCTTTGCATCTATACAACCATATTATCGAGTTTCAGCAAGGAGAGTGATCAGAATTGAATTTAGGGAGGTGAGTGACAAAACCCATTAACCAATGGCCAATCAATTCTGCTTCACAATTGCCTTTGCCCCAAGTGATCGAAGGTCCGTTTTCAATCAAATAGAATATTAGTGAATCAGTTCACAAAACCTCCTTCCACACCTGTACTCCTTCGTGCATTTGAAACTCTATCTGTGGACTCAAGAGTCGTATTGAAAACACCGACGATACACCAATGTTCGTCCGCTTTACACCCAACATAGAAAAAACCTCCCACAAGCATCAATGTCGAGCCACATGGGGATTTCCATAAATCAAACCACCATAAGATACCATGCATTTGGCTTCCTAGCATTAAAAATCTCATAAATGCGTTGCTCATGTCAAAAGATAACTGTATAGTGAGTGCCATCATCCCAAAAACGGCAAATGCCTATGCTAATAACCTTGGGCATTTATCATATCCCAGTTTCACCACCCCAACTTCCTTGCAAGGCGCTTCCATACACTATCCTGTTAATCATAATAAATTCCTATTATGCCTTTTACAACTTTGGAGCTATCTATATACATAATTATATATCGCCCTAAAGACATAGTCATAAATAATAATCTCAACATTAGAGCAGGGGTCTTTTAATTTAATATTAGTGCATTATGGAATAAAAGAAGGACCTTCAATTTTGATTGAAAATGAGGCTTCATTCTTTTTCCTTTCGCTATCAAAAGTTCTTTTCTATTATAAGCACTTGCTCATTAGCATCTGATAAAACCCATGAACTTTGTTATTTTTGGTAAGGTCTTATATATATTGGCATAGCAGGATCTTGATTTACACAAACAAACCAAGCATATATATTACAAATTTTATTCATCATCCTTCTAAATTGGGTTATATATATATATATATATATTGCTCATGTTGGCACAGGATCCACCAGTAAAGCTGTAATGAAATCTTTCATGATTCCTTGAGCATGAGTGTAATTATCTTCTTCTTTGTAAAGCACGTCCATCACACGAGCGAGGTTCAGAACTGGCATCATACAAGGCCTCGCCACTTCCAAAGGTCTCAGGAATTCTTCATTCATATCCTTCCACGCATTATTTGTAACCTTACGGAACTCATCAATGGCTTCTTCTCTTGACACACCATGTTCTTTCATGTAGCAATCCAGGGCCGAAGCGACGTGCCCTCGTTTTTGCTCAAACTGTATGTGTACGCACATAGAAAAGGTTAATGATATCTCATCATCATCATGTCTAACATTGAGAGAACCAGTGAGATCAGATTTTTTTAATGTACGTACCTCGCTAGAGACGATGTCATCCATGGCCCTGCAAATGATTGAACAAGCTTTTACGAGTTTTGGGCCACTTGTAACCCATTTGAATATGTCCTCAGTGGCAATATGTCCCAGCCCAAAGAAAGATATGGTTGAGAGCATTTGAAAAGAACAAGATCTTGTTGCAGTGTCGAGATACTCCTGTGTTGTTGGTACATAGTTTCCATTGAACCATTCGGCCTCTCTCATGAAGGCTCGCACCACCTTCTTCAGCTGCCATGAATGCAGAACAGACATTTAGAAGAAATATGAATCACAGATAGGATTTTCAAAATAAAAAAAAAGTGTGTGTTTGTGTGTATCAATGAAAGTTAAATCTTTAAATAATCATACTTCAGATTTTGCATAGTTAAGACTGTATTCTCTGCCTTCCTTCCTCACGTTTTGATCCATTTCATCATAAACATTCAACAGTGCCTTGTAAATTAGCTTCATGTATTCTGGGAGATCATGGAGGCAGCAAATATCCAACCTTATAAAATCGACGATTAGTACTTATAATGCTCCAAATTAAAAAGTAACAATAGACTAGAACAACAAGAAGGGTAAAAAATAAAAACATATAAAATAAAGCCTTGGTTTTGAGTGTATTAATTATATAAATTAAACCTCTCAAGTGCGTCAGTGAAGATCGTTAACTCATCGATAGTTCCATAAGCATCATAAGTATCATCAATGAGGGATAAAACGGCCATCACTTTGGTGAGAATGAATCTGCCTAGAGAGTATTGAGGCTCGTAATAAACTCCAAGAATCCAAAAGCAACTTTCCACTATCCTATCCCTCGCATATGATAGACTTCTCGGCACATCCAAGCTGTTCCACCACCTAATTAACCTCACCAAATTATAACCCATTTGCTAAATGTATACTATCATTAAAAGATAAGTTAGCGTAAACAATTTAGATTTTCTGTTATTACAAAAGTTATGATTTATTTAAATAATTCTACGTTGCAAGGACTTACTTGCAAATGTCTGCAACTTCTTTCTGATGTGACTTTTGAAGGGTATTGAAATCTAATTTAGCTAAAGTTAGCAAGACTTCATTGTAAGAAGGATATAAGTGGTATATTGAAATATACTTTCGAGCCTCTAACCGTGGCAATCCCCTGTGGAGAGATTGCCTTAAGCTATTATGGACTTGTTCACCAACAAAAGTGTTGGGTTCAACAGTGTTACTGATAGCCTGAAGCTGAGTGGAAGTGAAAGTGATTGCTTCGTCTAAGGTGTCTTCTCCGTGAATACTCAGATGAGCAGCTTCGTACAAATTCAGCATTCCTTCCACATCGTTCCTAATTCTCTCACTAAAGTTTCCTTGTTCATCTTTAAACTTGTTAAACGCATCTGGTTTACAGACATATATTCACAAATGGGTCAGAATTTAATGTACTTTTACTGATTATAAGGTTATGGCAGAATATATGAATTTACCAGGTGAAATGAGATATCCATCTTGTCTCAATAATCTGAAAAGCAAAGCAAGGAGGCGTAGGTCTGCATCAAGAGTGAGTTGACCATTTTGAACGTAGTGCTGGTGAGTTTGTTGCAACACTTGTTCAATTTCACTTTCAAAATGATGTCCCAAACCCAAGCGTTGAATTGAATCAATCAATTCAACTTTAGAAATGGAGGGCTTTTCATTGGTAGGAACAAGCATCTTCCTCACTTCCTCTTTCAGTGCTTCAATGTGCTGCACCGTTTCACCATCATCTTCCTATATAAACGGATAAGAATGTTAGGGTAAAAAAAAAAAAATCAAATCTGATGTAAAAAAAAGTTGACAGATAAGAACTTATAAGAATACTTCAGGACAAAAAAAAAAAAAGAGTTAAAATTGGAAAAGCTCAAAGGTTCTCTATACTGAGCATATAATATATTGAGTGAAGCTAGAAACTGTGATATAATAATAACAATCGAATTCAAATAACTTGGTTTTAAGTATAACTGCTGAGACATAGGTAATGATAGTATACTAAAAAAGGAAGAAAGAATGAACAAAAGAAAGCAAAAGAAAGAAGTATAAATTAAAGCAGGAAGATATATGACGTTAGAAGAGTGCAGAAGAGTGAGAGGCAAATTGAAGGAAATGATCGGTCCAAATAGAAGGGTGAAAATCTGCGCAGTGTCTTTCGATGTGGGACTCATTGGCATGTCTTTTTAAAGAAGGAACAGCAATTACTAATGTTGAAGCAGCAACAGAAGCCATTCTGTGTTCCTCTTCTGTTTCATGGCAGAACAACGATGGATGGTGTTGGTATTTATAGAAATGTTTTATAGCTATCTGCATAATATGACAACATCGTTATTACACCAACAAGCGTTGCCCCCCCTCTTGTTGGGTTCAATGATCTCTTCGTTTCAGTTAATACCAGACACGCCACATTTATGGATTTTATTATTTATCGCCTAGATCTTTTCATGCACCTGAAACTGAAAGCCATTTCACTTTCATGCAGAGATATGGATCCAATAGCAGAAAATAATTGTGGGGGAGGCCATTTATGAGAAACAGAAGTATGAAATCAAACTTGACTTTCAATATAAGAATATCTTACAAATATTTAAAATATGCATTAATATATATTACAGTGAATGAAATGATTTTTTAGATATATTACTAGTCTGGCAATATAAAAATATGCGTCTAATAAATGGTAACTTATTTATATGGCTCATTGTACAATGTTATTACTTGAAAATTCAAGAACGATTCAATATGACAAAAGCTTATAAATATTCTTGAGAAATTTTCTTTATTATTATGTTTGTCCATATGATTATATATGTATTAATTTGCATCAAAATTGATTGATTTAACATTATTGAATATTATGAAAAGTTTATACGAGCACTTGATTGTTAAAGAAAATGTTAAGATGATGGATAATTAGAATTGATATCATTTTTCCTCAAGAGAATAATGAAATATAGTTCTGAAATATTATATATGAATGCTTCGTATCACAATTTATGACATTGCATTGATTTGCAATGAAGTGATGTATTTTAGATATGATATGTTTCAAAAGTTATTATGTGTGGTTGCCTTATTAAACTTATTTAGGATTAAATTTAATTGATTACACATATGTGTTATATATGTCTAGTTTGAACCATACGAGTGCATCTCAAAAAGGTTATTTCTTTGTGAAAATACATATATATTAAAGGTTGTTTTGCAAATCCCACAAAATATATAATAAGTAGGAAAATGTGTTCATATCAAGAAGATATGTATAGAGAATATGTTTAAAAAAATTATATAAAGGCAATGATTTATATATAGTTTAGTCGTACACAAGTTAATGGCACAATGATTTAAGAAGACTTAAGAATAATAAGTAATATCATCATTAAAGAAAGTAAAAGTTATGCTGAACTATTTTTAATCAATATTTTATCCCACTAGGTTTTCCTCATAGGGTTTTTAATATGACAGCTTTAATAAATATGAAGATATTGTGTATTTTTTTTCACTAAGTTTTTTTACCATTAAGTTTTTCTTAATAAGGTTTTAATGAGGCACAATATTTGGACATCCAAAAAAAAGTGTTATAAATATTAAAGGATTTTGTAAATGTCCATGTCTCTAAATTCTCTAATATTTTTTTATTATCATAATATCTTTTCATTATTATTATGTTATATATTTTGTTTAATTTAATCGATATATTTGCGCTTATAAATAAAAAGTACCTTAGTTGTATTCACATATTGAAATAAGAAAACTCTCAATTTTCTCATTTTCTCAATATATTTTTTCTTCTCTCTCCTACTCTCAATTCTTATTTTTATAACAATTTTTTAAATTTTTTTTGAACATTTCGTATCATTACAATTTTTTTAATCTCTTTCAAAATTTGAAATTTGTTTTTAACCTAATATTATGTAAAAACAATTGACAATGGTTCATCGTATGTAATTTTTAAAAATTATAATTGTTTCTTATATTAATTTTTATAAAAAATATATTTTAAATGATAATAATTATATTTTTCAAAGAAACTTTTTTATATATATTTTAAAAAAAATTTATAAAATTTTTGTAGACTAATCAAGCCAAACCTAACCCAAACACTAAAGCATAGGGCTGGCTCAAACTCCACATCGGGTATGGCACCAACCAAGGGTAATGCCTGGCCAAACCCTGCTCATGTATAACCCTAATAGTGTATCGTTATATAATATAGAAATTATATAATGATTATTTTAAAATAACCATTATATAAAACCAGAGAGTGTGTATCATAATTTATTTTTTGGAGAAGCACTCATCATCACATGATTATTTTTCATTCAAAAAATTGGAAAGAAGAATCTTGTTTCCATTATCGCTCAAATCACTCAAAAACCAACACGCCACATTTATGGATTTTATTAGGACCACATTGATCGGTCTATTTTGGCTTGTACAACCATTTGTTATTTATTACCTAGATCTTTGCATGCACCCGAAAGCCATTTCACCTCCATGCAGACATATGGAGCCAATAGCAGAAAATAAGCGTCGGGCAGGCCATTTTTTTTTAATGAAAGTAATTATATTTTTTAACTTTTAATATTTATCATCAGTAATCTTTTAAAATAATCTCACGGTCAGAAAATGAAATCGGGCAAATTATTGTATATCTAACAAATTATAAACAAAATATTTAAAAAAAAAACTTTAGCTGTTCGAGATGAACCAATTTCCTATATATGTCAACGCAATTTTTTTTATAAAAAAGTCACCGTATCTAAGATATAAGCTCTAAAAATTATATACAATCGATTATATATACTTCAACTGGATTTCATATACAAATTTTCAAGGTTGATTGTAACTGAGACTACAACATAGACCGTTATAAAGAATTTAATGATAAAGGCAAAATACTCTGTTTTAATTACTTTAATTAAGGGCAAAATTATTCTGCCAATATTTTAGGATTCTGGATTCTTTTAGAGAATACTTTAAGGATAAAAATGCATATTTATCCTTTCTTGATATGAGTAGTTAAATTTTGTGTCAGAAATTATTGGAGAAGCACTAATCATCACATGATTATTTTTCATCCACAAAATTGGAAACAAGAATCTTGTGTCCATTTGTAACTCAATAATTCAAGATGATTTGATGTTCCACTTGCATTATATATATATAGATTAATAATTCAATTTCATGCAGCTTATCATACACAGGTTTGGTGCTAAATTATTGTTGTTTTGCAATAGATATTAGACAAGGCCCGTGGAATGTGGACGTGGATCTCCGGTCATATAACTTATTTATTAATGCTAGGGCCGACGATAAGATATAGAATTAATAGCTTGATTGAATTTTTTTTTTTTTACATGTTTGCAAGTTGCGTGTAATATTAGATATAAGGTGGTATTCAATTGCAAGTCTTTGAACCATAACAGAGCTCATGCAAAATAGTGCTCACCTGCAATCAGTTGGATTAGATTGGACATTGACAGCATTGACGGATCTATTGACATCAACGGCTTTGCCACCTGTGGAGGTCTCATTTGTGACTGTCATGCCCAGATTGATATTTTCAAAAAAGAAAAATTAATAAATATAGAAAAACAAGAATCACCAATAAAATTAAGGAGACCTTGAAAAACTCTATTAAAAAAAAAGATAGTCTACAAAAAAAAATTTAAGAGTTGATTATTGTGTGAAAAAAGTATTGGACATCCCATAACATCCTTTTATATGAATCATGAATGGTTATCCTAGATTGATTATATAAAATTAAATTAGTCTTTTAATATACCATAATTACACTATGCAAAAAATAATAAATAATGAAAATTAAGGAAAACAAATTATTTATTTAATTCACATAGGAGGACTTGACTTGTCATATTACATACTCCCTCTATTTTTATATATAAAAGAAAAAAAATTATATTACACAGTTTAAAAAAATTAGTTAATAATAATAATTATGTTTGAAAATAAAATAAGTGGATTAAAATATCTTATGTTAATCAATATAATTATATGTTAATTATTTTTCATTGATGTAAATTATAATGGGTGATTTAGAAAATATATAATAAATGCTTATAAGAATGGGAAATTTTTCTTATAAAAAATACAAGTAAAAAATGATAGTTTTTCTAAGAATTAAAAAACAAAAGGAGTACCTTACAATAGGGATTAGAAGAATATAATTATATAGGGGAAGCAGAAGAATTCAAATTAATTAAATGATACAATACTTTTTGGGTCTTCTATATAACTTATTGTAAAGTAATTTAAATTTGTTAAAGTTTGTTAAAAGCTATTACAGATTTATCATTATAGATTGTAACTTAAATATTTTTTGTTGTTGTTAAATGTTGTTAGCGATTGTTATAAATTTATCATTACAGACTTTTTGCTTTGTTCCATAACCTTATCATGCCTAAGTAAAAGGTATTACTCCCTCCTTCAGTTTATAAATTTTTTTTTATAAAACTATATATATCTCAATTAAGTTTAAGTTTATTAAATATAACTAGATTGAATCCCATGCATTGTACAGGTTTGATATAGGAAGATTGTAAGAAGTGATATAGATAATAACATTTACAAAATTTCAATTTAAGTAATAATATTATTTGTTTACATATATATTCAATTTTAAGGTTAAAAAATGAATGAACGTTAATTTTGTTTGAAATTGAACATGTTTTGTTCAAGAATAATAGATTTTCTGGTCACAAACTCATATTACAACGTGGAAGAAATATTTCATGTAATGTTTAGTGGGAAAATGTTGACAAAAATTGGTAATAATGTCTTTTAATCGGTTACTGGAAGATATTCAATGGAATTGTTTCAAATAATTCAAATATGATGTTTATACCCATGTTTTTTAGAAAATTTGAACAAAAAAGACATATAATTACAAATTATAGAATTATATCTATCAGAATTTAGAAGTGAGTCCAATAGAATATGAAAGATGCATGCTCTTTGGACTACAATAATTCTTGCAACTAACTCGGGTGACCATGAACACAGGACTCCAACTAACTTGTCTTACGTGTTGCCACTGTATGGGGAGTAATTTGACTAGAATTTTTTGTGCTGTCACTTTGGGCAATGTAACAAAGTTTTTTGTGAACTTCTTCAGGAATTCCAGAGTCTGAAATGATATGATGGGGAACAAAAAATCCTTGAGAAGTTCATATTCATCACCAATCCCTTTCTTATCAATTGTTGTTAAGGAAT